TCCATAGCCTTGAGCCACGGCAGTTAGAGCGGTGTCAAACCGCATTATGGCTCCAGTGTGCATGCAGCCCAAGGGAGCCCCTCAGTCCGTGTGTGAAGAAAAGGCTCGCGAAATGGCGGCCTTCGCCGCTTCCATTCTCCTCACTTACCACTTCCCTGGCTTCCACTTCGCCCCCTTCCGCCATTTTGCGCCTCGCTCTTTCTCTCCCTCACACGACGACGACGTCGCCCTTTCTCCGCCATTCCCGCCTCTTTTGAAGCCATTTCTCAAGGGTGGGGCCATTGGTGGTTGCCCTTATTTAAACAAATATTACTATTAGGTGTTGTGGTGGTGGTGGTTTTTTTTTTAAATTACTATGACCGACCAAAGCGTTGTTGAGTAGTTGAAACCCTTCATGCCTGCTGCAGGTTTCTAGTCTCTTGTGACACAAAACGTCGAAAAAAATCCTTTGTTCTGTAACTTAATCCGAATTACAGTCTTCCCTCAACGATGTTGTTATGGGCCTTTAAGTGTCTGCAGACTTTTTAAAAATGTATATATAAATAATTTTCTTACATTTCAAAAGTTAAAAATGCAAACAACCTTCCCCCCCATAAACATAAACATAGACATACCCTCATGCAATTATATATATATATATGTGTGTGTGTATGTGTATGTGTATATGTAATGTATATATATATATATATATATATATATATACATATACATATATATATATATATATATGTATGTGTATGTGTATATGTATATGTATATGTATATATATATATGTGTGTGTGTGTGTATATATATATATATATATACATACATACATACACACACATACATATATCCTTACATTGATCCTAATTGGTTTATCAAATAATTCCATATAGGTCAGGGGTAGGCAACCTTTCCCCTTTAAGGGCCGAGGGACTTCAGCTCCCAGAATCCCAGGAGCTATTGGCCAACATGGGACTATTGGCCAACATGGCTGAGGCTTCTGGGAGCTGAAGTCCCTCGGCCCTTAAAGGGGAAAGGTTGCCTACCCCTGATATAGGTTGTCCTTTCCTATATTCATGTCATATAGGAATAGATAGATAGACAGACGGATAGGAATATATTTATCTGCCTGCAGATTTATGAAACCCTAAGGAGAACCTATCATGGGGTTTTCTTGGAATTATTAGTTCAGAAGCGGTTTTGTTTTTAGTCTCTGAGGCTGAGAGTGCGTGACTTGCTCAAGGTCAACCAGTGGGTTTCCATGGCCAAGCTAGGGCCTTTGCAGACTGCCAGAAATAGTGCACATTAAATTGAGGCATTGCCCTGGCTCAGTGATAGGGAATCATGGGAACTGTAGTTTATTGTGGCACCAGAGCTCTCTGACAGAGAAGGCTCAATGCCCCAGAAAAAAATACAGTTCCCATGATTCCCTAGCACTGAGCCAGGGCATTGCCTCAATTTAATGTGCACTATTTCTGGCAGTCTGCTTAGGCCTTTAGTCTCTGAGGCTGAGAGTGTGGGACTTGCTCAAGGTCAACCAGTGGGTTTCCATGGCCAAACAGGGATTCGAACCCTAGTCTCCAGTCATAGTACAACACTCAAACCACTAGGCACACTGGCTCTTTTTCCTCCACTATAGGGAATGTTATACTCGGCTAAAAGCTTGGTGATATTTTTTTTTTCATAGGGAAAGGAGACATTTTTATTTTACAAGACAGATTCCAGATTTATTTATTCATTAAAAGTATTTAGTTACTGCTTTGCTGTCCTTTCAGACAGGCTCCCAAAGTAATGTGCAATGAAATAGATTGCCCTTTCTTTCAGATATGCACCTGAGGAAGTAGATTGTGTATGAAAACTCATGTTGCCAACTTCTTTACTTCAGTTAGCGCCTTTACAGACTGCCAGAAATAGTGCAGCTTGAGGCCACTTTAACTGCCCTGGCTCAGTACTAAGGAATCATGGGAGCTGTAGTTTATTGTGGCACCAGAGCTCTCTGACAGAGAAGGCTCAATGTCCCAGAAAAAAAAATACAATTCCCATGATTCCCTAGCACTGAGCCAGGACTGTTAAAGTGGCCTCAAGCTGCACTGTTTCTGGGAGTCTGTAAAGGCCCTAAATCTCAAAGGTGCTACCAGATCTCTCTATATACTGATTCTATATCTTTGGATTTCTTTCTTTAAAGTTAAATTAAACACAGTTTCAAAAGGTTAGTATCCAAACAGTACTTTTTATTAAGCATTTAACCTGGAGAAGAGATGATTAAGAGGTGATATATGATAGTCCTGTTTAAGTATTTGAAGGGATGCCACATTGAGGATGGAGCAAGGTTGTTTTCTGCTGCTCCAGAGAAAAGGTCATGGAGCAGGGGTAGGCAACCTTTCCCCTTTAAGGGCCGGGGGACTTCAGCTCCCAGAAGCCTCAGCCATGTTGGCCAATAGTCCCATGTTGGCCAATAGTTCCTGGGATTCTGGGAGTTGAAGTCCCTGGGCCCTTAAAGGGGAAAGATTGCTACCCCTGAGTCATGGAGCAACAAAAGCAAGCTCCAGGAAAAGAGATTCCAGCTCAACATTAGGAGCTACTTCCTGACAGTGAGAGCTGTTCAACAGTGGAATACATTGCCTTCAAGGTCTTTGGAGGTTTTTAAACAGATGGCCATTTATCGGGGATGCTTGGATTTAGAGTTCCTGCATGGCAAGGGGGGGTTCGACTGGATGGCCCTTGGGATCTCTTCCAACCCTATGTTTCTGTCATCTTTCCTCCCTGCCCTATAATCTATAGCAGGGGGTAGGCAACCTTTTCCCCTTTAAGGGCCGAGGGACTTCAGCTCCCAGAAGCCTCAGCCATGTTGGCCAATAGTCCCATGTTGGCCAATAGCTCCTGGGATTCTGGGAGCTGGAGTCCCTCGGCCTTTAAAGGGGAAAGGTTGCCTACCCCTGATCTATAGCTTTTCCCACAGTCAGGTCAACAAATGGATGAACTATTTCCCGTTGCCTTGGCTGCATTTAACCTGGGGCTTTTTCTGGGAAGCCACCTGCCTTTTCCCA